GACAAAAAAAACTTTGAGACCTTGATTCTTTTCCGCTCTTTTATTAACCTTGAAAATTTTTTACAAAATAAAGAACATGAACGTGGAAATTTTGGTATAAAATAAGGGATCAATTCGAGTTTTTATTGGTTAAAATTGTGTTTCGGAAATTGTTTTGGTTACCGGTATGACAAAAATTTTGGAATTAGATTTACTAATAAATGATCACGTGCTAGACCATATCCTTAATTGTCAAGAATTAATACCAAATGTTGGCGTATCTATTGCCAACATTAAAAAATTTCAAGATACTTTTCAGTTAAATATTAGGGCAGATCTACTTATTAAAAGAGCTCAACTACAGGGTAGGTATACATCTATGGGATTGGCATATAATGAAAAAATTCAAGCCTGTGTAGAATCCCATAAATTATTTAATGCTGATCCAGGAAATATTGTAAATTATGCTAATTTTTGAAAATTGGATAGAGAATGTATACAAATTCAACATATTAGATTCAATTTATGCCAGGAATTAGTAAACTTTGAGTATTATCTATTAAGAGTGAATATCATTACAGATCCTAATGAAATTGATGTCATTCTTGATAAATGCACAGATCTTCGGATTGAGGAAGAAGAAGAATAAGTGTCAATTCTGATGAAAAAATTCGAAAAATGCTTTAATCAGCTGGCCATACCTAATACTAAGAATTCAGATTATTTAGAATCTTCTTAGTGAGTTTTACAGCTCTCTTATGCTCTTTGGCCCTTTCCTTTTTTTCCTTAGCAATAGCTTCTTCAGCAGGAGTTTTTAATTTAATCAATCCATCCTTAGATACAAAAGTATATTTATTAGTATCACAAACAATGCATTTTCCAATTAATTTTTTCCAACCACTTTCAGTAGTTTCCAATTTTTCAGATGCAGAATTTGTTTTAGCATGGCACTTAACACAATAAGTTTGAGGCATCTTTTAAACTTAAGATATATTATTTCAAATAGAAACTCAAATGACATCACCAATAGATCATTACTATAAACTCTTTTCATTATCTGGAGTATCTCCCAAATTATTAACCAAAAGCAATTGTCTGGGAGGCTAATGGAGCACAAGATTCAGATTTACTAGAATTACCAATGGATCCAAAAGGATATCTATATTCACATATCATTATTGATGTTTCAACCTGGGATTTGGACAGAAATCCACTCAAAAGTAAAGATGCCAAAACAGTACTAGATTCATTCAAAAGTATTTATGAATGAGGTCATGTAAAACCTCCTACTTTCAGAATAAATATTGATACTGGAAAAGAATTCAATAATCATTTATTCTGAAAATTTTTCACAAAGGAAGTTAAAGTGCTAACGAAATTTGGATTGAACCATTTTATTTTGAACCATTTGTTTTATTTCAAATCATTTGTTTTATTTCAAATCATTTGTTTTTATTTTATTCATTTTATTTCAAATTATTTTGTTTGAATTATTTCAAAATAATTTTTATTTTATTCAAATAGAAACCCTAGTTCTGGTCAAGGGCAAGGTTTTCTTTCCAGTACTATTATTGTAGCAAGTTCTGGTCAAGTGTCTCAATTTTCTTTCCAGATTTGTATGCTCTAAAAAAAAATAGAAATATACTACTTGAACATCACTACAAGCAATATAGTAAAATCAAAAAGTTGGCCAAACCATTAATCACCAGAAAGGATTACGAATCAACCACACTAGCTTATTAATTAATTATAGTTTTTATTATCAAATGTATATTTGAAGAAATTTCAAGTATATTTATACTTAATAAATAGAATGAATGACTAATATTAATTATTAATGTTAAATGCCAAAATGCATCATTGGTGATGACATGATATAAAATGAATTGATCACAACAATCGTAGTAAGTTTAATTCGTGATTTTTTTAAGGAGTGAATTTTAAATAGTGATCGGCGGGGCGCATTTGTAACATTTTATATATAGTAAAAATCATCCAGTTCGCCTTACTTTTCTATTGTAACTTATTTCCATCCAACCCACCTGCTTCTACTCTTTGTTTTAGATCTGTAAGCATTTCTTATCTACATTTCCTGACAAAAAATAGG